TATATATATATATATATATATATATATATATATCACATTCTATTCAAACTGCAGATGCAGACTACTTCAATTTCTCTGCATGATATATATATATATATATATATATATATATATATATATATATATATATATATATATAACATGCAGAGAAATTGAGGTAGTCTGAGGTAGTTTGCATCTGCAGTTTGAATAGAATGTGAAATTACAGAAAACAAAACAAAAATAAAAACAAAACATATCTGTAGCTGATTTGGAGAAAAAGGGTCCTTCACACAACACTACATCGACATTCGCTGCTCTCCCTGAAGAAACTGGTTCTTTTTGTATTTTCCTCTTTCTCGTCTAACATATCAGTCGGCTTGAAACCTGGACTGAACTTATGTGACTGCAAGAAACAAGATGACACACTCAAATTGCCTTCACACCTGAGATTAAATGTCATTGTTTGGAAAATCAGGTTGAGACAGGCTTGTCCCTTCTCACTACTGGAAATAGTTTGTTTGGTTTCAGTAAGGATGCTGCATGGGAAGAACACGAAGAAGATAGGACACATGATGGCCACTCACCCAATGTGAATTCAATTACTTGCTTTATTCTCACGTAGGTGCTATCAGACAATACACACACTTTTTACAAAGGACCTGGTACAACAAGCCTATCTAATTTCCTGTCTTAGTGAGCCACATATCCATGTTCTCACATACAGTTTAATCAGGTAAGGGCTGCATTGCATGTCATTGCAAAAATTGAAAGTCATCAGTCCAAATCATGTTTTTCCAATCTTCTGTTGTCCAATTGTAGTGAGGTTGTGTGAATTATAGCTTCAGTTTCCTGTTCATGGCTGACAGACGTGGCACCCAGTGTGGTCTTCTGCTGCTTTAGGTTTATGTGCTGTGTATTCAGAGAGGCTCTTCATATTTTCGTTGCGACAGTGTGAGTTAGTGTTGCCTTCCTAGCAGCTCACAGCAGTCTGGTGATTCACCTCTGAACTCAACAAGTCATATTTGCCCAAAGAACTACGGCTCACTGGATATTTTCTCTTTTTTTCCCCACATCATTCTCAGACATCTACTTGGATTTATTCACTTAAATCAACTTTTCAATCACCTGTTCCGCTTAAGTCACTTCATTCTGATGTGTTGAGTTGCCGCCATATTATTGGCTGATTAGATATTGCATTGGTGAGCAGCCAAACAGGTGTACCTAATAAGGTATGCATGTAGACTCTAATATACCTCTGGGTGATTTAATGAAAAGATGAAGTGATAAAGTCGGTTAAATTATACAAATAATCATGTTAAGTGAAGTGAGTGAAACTAATTTTGTCACGAAAATATTCCCAATTTTCTCACATTTAAAGATGAGTTTAGAGAGCTTGTGATCAGACTTTTGTATGAGCACATCCACACCAGGGCACTGCTTTAGTATGTTGGTGTTGTTGTTACTCAAAATTGAAGGAAAACATGGTTTTACATAAAGGCAGTTGCAATGAGGGAAACACTTACAGCAGAATGCATTGAAATTAAGAAATTATGGTTATGTTTGAATTGGCCAGCTTCACTATTTAGTCCTGTAAATAGCAGTTTCAGTGGTACAGTGCACAACAAAGCTTGCTACACACCAGTAAGCAGCATACAAAGGCTGTGCATTAAATATGTCAGCCTAAACAATTGTGCTGTTTGAATGACAAAAAGGGAAATTAGATATCTCGTTCTGAGCCTGAACAGCAAAAGATAATAATAAATGTCTGTTTATAGAAATGCTCAGTCCAGACTGTAACATTAGTAGACTACTAATAGACTACGAAAAATTTGCACATGAGCCAATGTGAAATATGTGCAATATGTGTTAATTCCCCATGAATAATACTGAAGAGTAGTATATAATAGCACAGATACAGCCACAGTTTCCATGCTGCAATTGTTTAGCTAAAGTAGCCTAAGACAGAGGTGTCCAACTCCAGGCTTCAAGGGCCGGTGTCCTGCAGGTTTTAGATGTCACCCTGGGTCAACAAACCTGAATCAAATGATTAGTTCATTACCAGGCCTCTGGAGAACTTCAAGACTTGTTGATGTGTTGGATCAAGGACACATTTAAAACCTGCAGGACACCGGTCCTTGAGGCCTGGAGTTGGACACCCCTGGCCTAAGATGAAAATAAAGTTAGGTATATAGAGAAATGTCATTAAAATTGATTTAAAAGTTATGGAGAGCTAGATGTCATGTACTAATCTAAAATGAAATGTAAAAACAGCTGTATGCTACATGGTATAGCAAATGCAAATGCAATACTGTGAGAGACTGGGAATGAGGGGGACAGTTAATTACAGTAAAATTAATCTTATGTGAAGCTAAAGCTAAGCTAAAGCAGACCACGTTTGGATCATTAGGATCCCAGTGATGATCAGATTGGGTTCACAGACACTCTCTAACAGCAGCCATTAAAGACAATCTTTAAGGACATTTACATTATTCATTCCATTTACCTGCAGGTGAAACTGGGGTCAAACGTCTAGCCAACAGGCGTAGGTGGTCATGAATAATCAAACTTTTGTTTCAATAGATTCCAAAAAAGCCTACTGCGGGACAGAAGTACATGCCACAGGCATTTGTTTTAAAGCATATGCAGTGTTTCACAGTTTCTTTCATTTTTGCCACATTTAGATTGAAAACTACCTACAGAGAAGGGTGAGACGCATTAAACAATCAGCTGGAAGGAAGGAAAAGTGACACAAGTTGATGTGTAATGAATAAAAAACTAGACCCAAAGAGAAAAGTTAAATCCTTTGATGATAAGATGGAGAAGAAAAGCCAAGTTAAACTGGCCACCTTTGCCCTACAAGTTCTCATAAGGGTGAGGTAATTGGAAGCTCCAGGTTACGGACAATTAAGTAGTGGAAAAGCTTCTTAAAGTCTGCGACCCCTGGGCCACCTCACCTGGCTGGTAATCTAGTGTTGAATGACAGTGGACATAATCTTAAAGCTGGTGTTATGAAAGCTTTGAAAGCTCATTTCGTTAGGTGAACCTAACTGGATAATGAATTTCTTTTTTTCACTCAGCAGTCACATGATTCAAACTGAGAACAACCCGGTTAGGTCACGGGTGATTAGCGTTGCTGTAACTGTTGTTCACTAATCTCGTCTGTTCTAGTGCCTCACTGAGCATCACGATCTATAAAGGTTTGTAATCACCTCAGTCAGAGCTCTATAGATAGACTCAAGAAGTGACTGTGATCAGTGAGTTTCCTGTTCCACTTAACGCCTTCTAATGTAAACTAGGAAAAAGATTATTTAGGACAAATATACATTATACACTGACCGGGCACAACATTATGACCACCTGCCTAATACTGTGTTGGTGCCGCTTTTGCTGCCACAACAGGCCCTGACCCTCGAAGGCATGGACTCCACTAAAATCCTGAAGGTGTGCTGTGGTATCTGGCATCAAGATATTAGCAACAGATCCTGGAAGTCCTGTAAGTTGTGATGTGGGGCCTCCATGGATCGGACTTTTTTGTCCAGCACATCCCACAGATGCTTGATTGGATTAAGATCTGGGGAATTTGGAGGCCAAGTCAGCACCTCAATTACTATTTTATCATTTTTTATTTGGCTTTTAAGTTTGTGCTTTTTTCTCTTTTATATTTTTTCTTAGGGTGATGCAAAATGGCCTTGTAGCAGATTGGCCACCGTGTAGTACCAGGGGTGAAATCTCAGTCCATAGCATTTCATTTTCTGGCTCTTCAAATACTAAAATAACTTTCATAATTTTCTGGTTTCTTATTAAAAACATAGATAACCTCCATTATTTTCATCAGGGAAACATTCATCTCTCTTCCGTGTATTTCCCCTTATTGATTGTGTTGATTTTCATTTACTTTTCTTCCTTGTTTTCCCTTCTTTCACCTCCTAACATCAGCCCCAACAAAATCCATCTTACTGATGCAAACTCCACTAGAATAAAAACCAAAATCAGCTTTGCACTTGCTGATCTGAACTTGCTCATTCCATCCATATTTTGTCTGTTTGTAGGGAAAAATAATCTCCAAAGGTCCAAGTCTTTGTAAACATTCCACTCAGCAACACACACTCAGACGCATAACCTTTGGAATTATTTATTAGAATTCATCTTTTTTAGCTGGAAGTTAATTAGTGCTAGTAAAAATAAATTCAGACTCTATTAGTATAACTTAAAGTTCAAAACATTGAAGTAAACACTTTGTTACCCATCTTTCTCATTGCTTTTCCCCCTGCAGTTTTCCACCATGACTGATGAATTTATTTAAAGATGACAGTGATAAATAGTTGACATGTGAGCTTAGCAGCTTTCTCCAGAGATATTTTAGACCATCAAGCTTGTGTTAGCCTAAAATACCATACGAGCAAACAGCTAAAAGCTCTGGGGGAAGCACCAAAGTAGTCATTGGGTTTGGACATACAAATAACAATTTTCAAGATCCCACTGTCGCTAAAGTGCTTGCTCAGAGACGGTTATATGATTGTTGGATTTTTCTCTGTATGTATAATTGTAGGGTCTACCTTACAACATAAAGCGTCTTGAGGCAACTGTTGTTGTGATTTGGCGCTGTATAAATAAAATTGAATTGAACTGAAGGGAATTGAAGTTTTATATCCTTGCTTTAACCTGATTCATATTTCACCTCTTTTCTTAGTTACATTTCATCTTTTGTTCGATTGTTTCACTGATTCCTGTCTTGCACCCTGTGGTTTTGGGGGTTACTTTACTAAGTAATATAAGTGTAAAAACTTATTATTTAAATAATTGTCAGTTGTTTGCCGGACGAGACAAAACATGTGAAGTTATAAACCTGGATTCCGCTAATGATGATGGGCATTTTGGCATTAAAGTTGTGCCAGAATAAAATATGTCATTCACATTTCAGCTTTGTTTGAAGTTTCTTACATGTTCGCAGGTCAGAGACCGCACGTTAGTTTTGTATTTACCGGCTGTCCAGCGCGCCCTGAACGCGGCGCGGCGCGGCGCTGCCATGTTGTTGTTGTATTTTCTGGGCAGCGGCGGAGTTTCCAGCTGCTGTAGCTGTCTGCGGACGCGGTGGGTAGTTTCGGTGGGGGAGGCACTGCTTTAATCACTCTATTTGGATTACAACCGAGCTTCAAGTAACAGCAAAAGTTGCCGGACAACAGGAGCTGCCGTCGGGTATGTAGTTTTCCACGTTTTTAAACTTGTCTCCGTTGGTGTCCTGTCACTCTTTGCTAAGGGGAGCTACGGCTTGCTCTGTGGTTTGCTTCTACTTTTTCCCATTCATGCTAACAGGCGGTAGCTTAGCGCAGTTGAGCAGCTATCTTTCTTTCCCCGGAGTTCCACACAGGGAGTTAAAATCGATAAGTTTTTTTGTAGTCTTAAAGTCGAAAAAGCGGAGTTGATTTTTGTTTGACACAAGCAGTAACAGGTGAACATTGTTTGGGAAGCTAACTTGGGAGCTAGCTGGCTAACGCTGCCAACTGACACCAGCTTGGAAAACTTACGGGGCAATAACTTGAAAAGTCACAGAAACTTCGTGTCGTATCGTGTTTAAGGTGTTTCAATGTAAAGAAAGAATAAACTGAGCGTGATGGTTTCAGTTTGCCTCACCAGCGGTGGCTTTTTGAGGACTGCGAGGAAAAGTCATTGCGGTTTATTTATTTTTAGCAAGTCAGGACAAGCTGAAAAGGGACAATTTATCAGCGTAGGGTAATATTAGCCTGATGCGTGGTTAAAGAAACTGACTTTTCCACCTAGTGTAAAGTTTAATATTTATTTGGACTAACTTCACCCACCTTTGCCTCACTGTGCAGGTAACCTACAATCAGTTAGAGGTCCAGGCTCTGTTATTACAGCTTTTGTGGAAGCGAATGTGCGAATCTGATTGCTGGTGAAACCTGTCTACCTCAAAATGGGAAGTCTGCAACGCCTTGCCTCTGCCTTAGTCAGGTTGCCCATTATTTTCACTTGACTTCTTCTTCCACTACACTGAGTCTTTGAACTTAAGGTTAGAGGACGATCACGTGTCTTCCCTGGCCAGTATTCGCGTTCTCTCCTGCAACTGATTAATTTTCAGTTAGAAGAAGATTTGTACTATTTTTAATTATAAAATCCCTAATTCGTGGTTTTAAGTTTTTCTTCTTTGTCCACTTTACAGTTTTAAGCTACCCCAAATAATTAGAATAACTCAAACAAAATAATTAAATAAATGACATCCACTTTCTGCTGCTTATCTGGGTACGAATCGGAGGGGCGGCAGAGATAACCAGACCTCACTATCCACATCAACTGCCCGTAGCTCTTCTGGTGTGACATGGAGACGTTCCCAAACCAGCTGAATGACATAATCTCTACAGCATGTACTAGACTTGTCCTTGGGTCCCCTCCCAGTCGGATGTTCCCAAAGCACCACACATAGGAGGTATCTAGGAGGCATCCCAGTAACCTCAGCTGACTCCTTTTGATATAGAGGAGCAGTGGTTGTAGGCCCCTCACCCCTCCTGTAAGGGAGAGCCCAGAGGACCCTATGGAGGAAATTAATTTCCACTGTTTATACCCACAGACTCATTCTTCCTATCACTTCCCAGATGTTGACAGCTGTGCCTTAACACTTAACTCTCTTTTCATCACAATTGAGTGGTACAATGTTTATAACACTACCACTGCGTCTGTCAAGCTCTCACTCCATTCTCCTCTCACTAGTGAACAAAACTGCGTTGGAATAGTCCTCCATTTGAGGCAGAAACTTGTTCCCATGTTGGGGTGGGCACTCCGGATTTGGATATGGCTGCAATACTGGTGCTTCAACAAATCACTCCAGTGTGAGACAGTGGTAATCACTTGATGTATCTGACAGGATCATCTGCAAAAAGCAGAGACATGATTCTTAGACTACCAAGCGTGAAACCCTCCGCCTCTTGGCTGAATGTGAAATTCTGTCTTTAAAAATTATGAACAGAATCTGTGACAAAGGGCACCTCTGGCAGAGTGCAACACCCACTGGGAATGAATGTGACTTATTGCTGCCAATGCTGACTAAGCTCTCACTTTGCATCTGCATGGACTGATTAGCCTGTAACAACATGCCTGGTACTTCTTAATTCTGAAGCACCCAAGGGATGTACAGTGGGGCAAAAAAGTATTTAGTCAGCCACCGATTGTGCAAGTTCCCCCACTTAAAATGATGACAGAGGTCAGTAATTTGCACCAGAGGTACACTTCAACTGTGAGAGACAGAATGTGAAAAAAAAATCCATGAATCCACATGGTAGGATTTGTAAAGAATTTATTCGTAAATTAGGGTGGAAAATAAGTATTTGGTCAATAACAAAAATACAACTCAATACTTTGTAACATAACCTTTGTTGGCAATAACAGAGGTCAAACGTTTACTATAGGTCTTTACCAGGTTTGCACACACAGTAGCTGGTATTTTGGCCCATTCCTCCATGCAGATCTTCTCGAGAGCAGTGATGTTTTGGGGCTGTCGCCGAGCAACACGGACTTTCAACTCCCGCCACAGATTTTCTATGGGGTTGAGGTCTGGAGACTGGCTAGGCCACTCCAGGACTTTCAAATGCTTCTTACGGAGCCACTCCTTTGTTGCCCGGGCGGTGTGTTTTGGATCATTGTCATGTTGGAAGACCCAGCCTCGTTTCATCTTCAAAGTTCTCACTGATGGAAGGAGGTCTTGGCTCAAAATCTCACGATACATGGCCCCATTCATTCTGTCCTTAACACGGATCAGTCGTCCTGTCCCCTTGGCAGAAAAACAGCCCCATAGCATGATGTTTCCACCCCCATGCTTCACAGTAGGTATGGTGTTCTTGGGATCCAACTCAGTATTCTTCTTCCTCCAAGCACGACGAGTTGAGTTTATACCAAAAAGTTCTACTTTGGTTTCATCTGACCACATGACATTCTCCCAATCCTCTGCTGTATCATCCATGTGCTCTCTGGCAAACTTCAGACGGGCCTGGACATGCACTGGCTTCAGCAGCAGAACACGTCTGGCACTGCGGGATTTGATTCCCTGCCGTTGTAGTGTGTTACTGATGGTGACCTTTGTTACTTTGGTCCCAGCTCTCTGCAGGTCATTCACCAGGTCCCCCCGTGTGGTTCTGGGATCTTTGCTCACCGTTCTCACGATCATTTTGACCCCACGGGATGAGATCTTGCGTGGAGCCCCAGATCGAGGGAGATTATCAGTGGTTTTGTATGTCTTCCATTTTCTGATGATTGCTCCCACAGTTGATTTTTTTCACACCAAGCTGCTTGCCTATTGTAGATTCACTCTTCCCAGTCTGGTGCAGGTCTACAATACTTTTCCTGGTGTCCTTCGAAAGCTCTTTGGTCTTGGCCATGGCGGAGTTTGGAGTCTGACTGTTTGAGGCTGTGGACAGGTGTCTTTTATACAGATGATGAGTTCAAACAGGTGCCATTCATACAGGTAACGAGTGGGGGACAGAAAAGCTTCTTACAGAAGACGTTACAGGTCTGTGAGAGCCAGAGACTTTCCTTGTTTGAGGTGACCAAATACTTATTTTCCACCCCAATTTACGAATAAATTCTTTACAAATCCTACCATGTGAATTCATGGATTTTATTTTTTCACATTCTGTCTCTCACAGTTGAAGTGTACCTCTGGTGCAAATTACTGACCTCTGTCATCATTTTAAGTGGGGGAACTTGCACAATCGGTGGCTGACTAAATACTTTTTTGCCCCACTGTACGTGACACACCGAGACATGCATTCAAATGCCTTCTCAAAATCCTTTAGCCTATTTGATCAAACTCCCACATGTACACTTGAACAAAAGAGTAAAGAGTATCCCCTTGTTCCCTCTTGCATTGTGGGTGTTACATTGTGACTAGATAGCTGTCGGTGTTGACTTTGGTGGCTGTCATCGCCCTGTTAGCAAACAGGATTACATTTACCTTTGGCAAAGGCTATTGTTTAAATTTTTAAAGAAAGTATTATTAAGTAGTATTAAACCACCCCCACTGTCTTCACCTTTTCTCATTTGTCTCCCACACTTACAAAAATAATGCTGGAACAGCTGGTGGTTTAAATGTAGTAATTAACAAATCTTTTCAACTCTTAAGCAAAGTACTATGTCATGGTTAACAAAATATTTTTGTTTTTTTGGACATATATTAATTTTTATTAAAAAAAGTATTTAGCTACAATTGTTCAACTTGAAATAAAACAGTGATTCTCTAAATCTAACTAAATAGCTCTGGGGAAACAAATACAGTCTGTAAGCAAACATCTGTTATGACTGAGTGTAAAGAGCAGGAAGAGATTTACATATTGATAAGGATGCTTTCTGAACTACTTTGCGGTGACAGGCACAGCTGGGCTTAATAAACTTACCTATATGGAGCGTTTTTGTAGCGATCACTTTTGGAATTTCTGTAGGAAGAAGGTTAAACAAAAAAAGCACCCTCACACTCTAATAATCCTGTTCTAATATAGGAAAAACTCTGCTGTATTGCATTGATAGACTGAGTATCTCTGTGGGAACAAAAGGTTAAAGGAAACTGTGGGCGAGAGAAGATCTTGTTATAAAAATGTGTTTTCTTTTAATCAGACGTTTCATTAACACTTATAGCTGTGTAGGTTGGTAGTTATCTTATGTTCCAACATGACATGTCTTGTAGTCTAATGGTTGCATTTGGATAAAGTTACATTTTTGCTTAAAACTGTGTTTCACGGTTCTAGAGTTGACTGCCTCTTTGCCTAATTATTGGTGATAATGTGTGAGATCTTTTTTTCATAATAAAACTGAAATGTCACCCACAGCTGAGTGTCAGGCCTTTCATAATTTAATATGGTCTTCTTTTTTAAGTTCACTAGTATTTCATACATTAAATGAGCTCAAGGTATATTTTCACTTGTCATGCTTTAGCCAAATGGCACCCAAAAGCCTAAGGGCCTACAATGTAGACTGATGTAAAGTAGAAGAAAGCAACAGATCTTCACTTTGAAGAGATTTTTGTATTTCCATAGATTTAAGTTATATTTCTAGGATAAAAATTACACTCACTGCCCCAAAAATACAGTTTTTAACATTCTCCCTTCTAAATATTTAAAATACCAACTATATTGTGTCAAGTATATAAAAGTTCCTTAAGAGCTTGTCCAAAAAACAGGTTAAAAATAGTAATTAAC